AATAATTATATGCTTATGATCTTCTGTAAGAAAAATAGTTTTGCCAAAACAAATGAGATGAACTTGTTTTTAATAAAATGTGACTTATGCAGGTTTAATTTTAATGTTTACACCTCCTAAAGAAAAATGTGGTATTTATATACAATGGAATTTTATTCAGCCGTAAATAAGAATGAAATTTTGTTGTTTGCAGGTAAATGGGTAGAACCAGAGAACATCATTTTAACTGAAGTTAGCCAGGTTCAGAAAGCCAAAGGTTGCATGCTTTCTCTCATATGTGGAATAAAAGCCTAATACAAAAATAAACAATATTATCTATACACATATACATATACAAAAACAATACAAAAATAAACAATATTATCTATACACATATACATATACAAAAACATAAACAAATATACACAAAACATGTACCCAAAAGTAAGACTCATAGATGAGGAGGAAAAGAAGGAAAGATAGTGAAAAATAATGAAATACATCACATCTGTATAGAAATAAGACACAACAAAACACACTGAAAACTGTTAAACAACACAAGATATGGGGGGAAAGGGTGAGAAAGTGCAGTGGAAGGGGGGTTACATTGACTAAAGCACCATACAAAAATTCCACTGAACAATGAACAGACAACTAAAGAATGAAGGGTAAGATTGAAAAACAGGCCACGCTAACAGGAGGGCAATAACTGGAGGGGCAGGGAAAAGAAAGAAGTAAAAAAAGTAAATATGGTTGATGTACTTTCAATATAAGAATTAATATAGAATATTTAAACCTGCTGAAATCACCATAAAAAGGAGACTAAAGTACAAATGAGAAAAATGGAAAGGATGAACATATATATATATATATATATATATATATATATATATATATATATATATAGTGACATGGAAATGTCACAATGAACTCCTTGTATAGCTATCTTAAATAAACAAAAACATCATTTTTTTTCAAAAACAAAGGACAGGAAGGTTAAAAAGGTTCTATCTGGGTGTTGGTACCACTGGGAGTGGGGAGGATATAAGGGAAGGGTGTAGGAGAGTGAATATAGTGGAAATATTATGTACTCATGCATGAAAATAGAAAAATGAAACCTGCTGAAACTGTTTTAAGAAGGGGGAGAGGAGATAGAATGATGGAGAGGGTGAATTTAACTAAGATATACTGTAAGCACTTTGTACATCTCACAATGTAGCCCCAGTACAACAGTAATATGATAATAAAAATAAAATTTTAAAAGAATATTTGTAAAGATGTTAAAGTATGTCATAATGTAAAATAAGGTTATTTTTATAAAATAAATGCTTACATTTATATACATAGCAAACATTAGGCAAATTTTATTGGTAAGAGCATTACAATGTAAGAAATAGGTGGAAGAACAGGAAGAAGTGGTTTCAGATAAATTGTGGAACACATAACTAATAATGGAGTCTGATTTGATAACTAGTTCCCTAAACTAGAGTAGGTCTGTGCTTTTACACTTGACCTTGAGGTACATTTTTGTGCTTCTATTTAAGAATATAACTGTAATTCATAGGAATTCATGATCTTCCCTCCACCCCCAACTATGGGAACCCTATTTTCAAGAACAAGCTCTAAACTACCCTACATTACTGACTATATCTCTATGGGGGTAACTCACAGCAATGAGTGAGTATGGAGTAATTGAAATATGGTTAGTCTAAATTGAAAGGTATTGGGAGTGAATCCAATATTCACTAAGATTAAGAGGCTTTTATGAAAACAAGAATATAAAGTGCCTCATTAAAATCTTACACTAGTTGTCTATTGACACAATAGATTATGAACAGACTGAGATAAAGATAATACATGCAATTTAATTTCACTTAAAATGTGATTGCTAAAAAATGTAAAATACATGGCTGACATGTATGACCCATACTATATTTCTATGATATCATTCTCTTACACAACTTTTCAGGAAGATCAAAGGAAGCAATTTGGGTTTTTATTTAGTAAGGATACCACTGGCCATATCCCTCATTGTCTCTAAAAACAAATATATGGCCTCTAAAACATCAGAGCCTCCTCAAGAGTCCTCTGAACTCACAATGAAGTCATAATATTTCAGAATCATTTCACAGTTTGAATCTCCAAAGTTTAGCCTCTCACTCTTACCAATAGATGAATGTATACTTTTAATTTCTAAAGATAGTTAAAGGGAGCTTAAGAAGTTTGTACAAAACTCAATGCTATATACATGTATTTTCTTCTGCTTCATTTGAATGTAAACACCACAGCTATCGTAGCTGTGAAAATAAAAAATTATTTCACAAGATTCACAGTGATCCTAATACTAGAAATAAAGGCATTCAGGCTTTTTAAAAAAATCTTCCTACTGGAGCCATTCATACCAAATTTCATGCCTTAAATACTCTTTTCTACTTTCATACACCAAAATATATTAATTTTACCAATACATTGATATCATATTAAACATTTTTATATTTCATATTAATTTTTTTGCTTTTGTTCGTGTGTTTATTTTCTAAGATCATTCAAAATATTTTCCATGTATGTTCATTCTGAGAAAGATCAACATGTAACTCAAGGCGGTCCTCAGTTTACTCCATTTCCTTTTTAATATCCCATATACTGAGATACCTGCTCCTGCAGAAGCATAAAACACAGTCTGCTTCCTCTCCTGCCGTTTCGTCTTCCCACAGCATCCCGTCCACCATATTCTTCATCTGTCCCTAGACATCCTTCATCTATCCCTGTTCAGATTCAGCCACCTTAAACTATAAGCTGGAAAGATCTTTCCCTCCAAAAACTCCATATGTGGATCCAAAGGTGTGAGCATCTTGTAAGTAAATGTCTTCAATAAATAGCATCAGTGTATGTTTTCACTTTCTGCCTCCTTATAAAGTTCTTATATATTTTTTTCTTAGTACTTGATCATATCCTACTCAATAGTGGAGTTTTGGAGCATATTTTTCCTATTGTCTCTTGTCATACTGGATTATCCTTTATTCATAATGAGAATGGTAGTAAAATTTATTAAGAAAGGAATGCACTTTTCACTAGGCTGAAAGAAGTCATCGCAGAAAGAGAGGTGAAGAATGACCTGGATTATTTTTAAGAACAGAGATTCTTTTTCTATTCATTAAAAATTTTAATATGCCTTAAATATTGTGAAGACATACAATGAGCTGTAGCATTATTAAGATATGCACTTAATTGATAACATATAATTAAATTGGTACTATTTTATAGATACTGTTTAGTGTTCCTTTTGGAAGTTTTATTTAATGACTTTAAGCCTCAAAAGTCTCAGGGTCTTAATATTTCCAATAGGGTTAGTTCATTCCTCTTATATCCCTTCAGTAGCTCATTAAATATTGAAGTGGTCCAACAAAAATCATTTCCTCCCACAGTATTTGGATTTTGTGAGTTTTATTATTGTCACATGATTACTATTTTGCAAAGACCAGACCTGTGTAACCAGTATAGCTCTCATTCCCATATTCCACAAAGAAATGAAGACCAAAGCTTTCTCAAGGAAGTAGATTAATCTAACGACTCAAGCACTTTTGCAATAAATCCACATAAGTCTACTTATCACCCAATTCAGTCCTGAACTGTTTGAATGTTTTCTTCTATAATACTCCACAAAGTATTAAAAACATCTCAGGTGAAGAGCTTTTATAACTAATCATCAACTATGAAACATTTATCTACAAACTTCCTCTTAACCATATTAAAATACTCCCTATGAAACGAGCATAGAAATAAAAACAGAAATAGCAATATTCCCCTTACTTTTTACCATACTAAAAGCTAACACAAATAAATGAACTAATTCTTAATAAAACATTTTTATTTTCACTAACTATAAGAGATATAGTGCACTCTGAATCTCACAAAAGTGGGACTACACTTTTGTTTCCTCTAATAAACTCATAGTTTACATAACAATATCTACTTATTAATATCTGCCACATTATCATTTGACAAAACTTTATCACTTAAATAATATATACAGCACTTATTTTCATCCCATACTTTTAAAATATATTATATGGATTAATGGTGTTTGCTGTTTTCAATTCTCACAATATTATCACTGTATGTATTGTATTGAACTTCTGACAACTCAACATTTTACTATAATTCTTTAGACAAATGACCAGAAGATATTTTAGGTTGAAAGGATATGTGCACATATCCAATCATCTAAACTATTTCAGTATTTAAACTCAACAATTCAAATTGACATAGCACTGGGTCTACAAAGAATAAGGCAAATACAGACAGTACCAACTTAAGATGGTACAAAGATCATTTTCCAACCTTATTATGGGGAGAAAGCAATAAACACACATTCAATAGAAGCTGTACCTAGAATTTCAAGTTTCAGTCTTTTCCTAGGTTAGCAGCATATGTCATGACACTCTCTCTGGGTGCTTGGCAGAGCCATGAATCTCAGCTCCCAATCAGCATTGCAGTCACGCAGGAAACAAATGATCCTCCCTCCACCAGGTTCACTGTCGCTAAGCTATGATGTTAAGCAGGTATGTTAAATCCACTTTTGACTTACAATATTTTTAACTTTATGGTGGATTTTTCAGGATATAACACCATTATAAGTTGAGGAGTATCTTAGTGTAAACATAACAATGTCTAATTAGAGCAGAATAACTCCACTCTTGACTTTATATTTTGTTAAAAGTCAATGGATATTTGTTGAGGATTGAATTCTCAATCAGACTACAAACAAAGGAGTCTTCTCTTATGTCACTGATACAAGAGGAACCTGACAACAGTATTCAGGAACTGGTAAATACAATGAAATGGGTAGAAAAGTCTGAACACATTTTTATGAGTAAAGACTTGAAAGATAACATTTTAGTTCAAAAATATTTTCATTATGAAGCAATGAATTATTAGATATTTGTGTTATTTTCACCATTTCTTTCCTTCCAACTCTCTACTCTACAAAAACCATTAAGCAAACCCAAATGAAAACATACCTGTTGGAAGAGGCACAGCCAATTCTTCTTTCAAGGGATGATGAGACAACAGACAACTCTTTGTAAGCACAATGTCATCCATAGCAATATTACCATGGTAGCACTTCCCAACTCTGCCTTCAAATTGAAGTTGGAAGTCCTCATCACCAAACAGTGACAACTCTTTTCTGTGCCAGAAATTGCCTTGTTCTTCAGTGAGATTAAGGAGTACCTTTGTTTTGTTTGAGACTGATACCTGGAGCAAGGTGAGGGACCCGATACCACTACCATGCATGTGATAATAAAAAATGATCTGTAACAAAAAATAGGAATATTAGATGTGGTAAGTATAATAATTCCACTTTGTTTTAAATTATATCACAATAATATCTCTTTATTAACAAATAAGGAAGCAAAATTACACCTGCAGTTTCTGTGAGCACTTTAGTACTCATTTAGATCAGCCTTGTATTCGATGTTGTGATGTATTGAAGAGAGTACAGATAGGAATGAATAAAAAGTTAGTAGAAAAATGAAACAAACTCAGTTTCATTCTCTGATGTCTAAAAGTAAGATTCCTCAAGGCTATAGTCTGAATACTTCCTGCAAAATTCATATGTTGAGAATCTAATGCTCAATGGAAAAATGTGGATAAGTGGGACCTTTATGAAGTGAATAGGTCATGAGGGCTTTGCCTTCACTAATGGATTATTGTCATTATTGTGAGAGCAGATTGATTATCAATAGAGTGAGTTAAATAATTTCTTTTTTATAATCATAAAATAGCCTCTTGCTTATTCCACTACATTCTTGTTCTTGGAACACATTTTCAGTTGTACAAGATCCCCAGGTTTCACTACATATATATGTATACATATGTGTGTGTGTGTGTGTATACATATATATATATATATAGAGAGAGAGAGAGAGAGAGAGAGAGAAACCACAAGAACAGCAATTATCCAAATTTTACTTAAAATGCTAGAAACAGGCCTTAGAAGAGCAGCCTCAGGAATTTTTCCTGAGTAAAAATTAATAAAAGCATTTTCATGGATTAACATTTCAATATGTCAAAGACAGGGTTTACTAGCTTCTTAGTCATTGTTACACAGCAGGAGAAAGTCCAGGAAAATTCTGGGAGAAAGAACAAGTTAGGAACAATAGCACTTCAGAGCTTTGTAAGGCTTTTGTTGTTGGGTGAATGGAGAAAATGATTATGGAGAAATCTTCACACACAAGAAAAAGACACCAAAGAAACACTGAAATCACATGTATCATACTCTAAAGATAAAGTATGAGTGTTTTGAAAAGGTAAAGAATGTGATTAAATAATATATGCAGCGCTTCACTACAAAAGCAGGAACTAAGAATAAGTGAGCCAAGCAAAGTGATTACTCAATTTTCCTAGCTGATGAAATCTCCACATATTGTTCTATGATACAAAAATATCTCTTCTATTGATTAACTTTTCCAGCATGAACTCTAGGACAATTTGTCCTGAAACTACTGAAACCCAGCAGACAGTACGTATTTGAGTGGGAAATAGAAGGGTCCAGGACCATCTTATGGGCAGCAAGAACAGGTAATTCAGGCCAAGCTGAGTGGTTCAGTTCTGTGTGGATCCCATGCTGCCCACAGACATTATCTGCCCAGTGTTCTGCTTTGTATGTGTCTTATTTGTGCAACGTATATGAGGCATGTATTTATGTCTCAGTCAACACTTCTCTATCTTGAGGACATTTTCTAAATTATGCCATTAGGTTAATATACAAACAAACACACCCACCTCTCTGTTTCCTGGGAGAACATCTGATGTCAACATAACCTAATCACAGGGCAGCAATAGTGAATAAAAATCTGCTAAGCAGTAACTCTTCCAAGTACATGTTTTTACTATAAATTTCTGTTATTCAGAGATTTGACCTCTTCTCTCATCAATCATTGTTTGCATCTCCCCACTAACACTGACCCCATCCTCCAAAAGAGAGGAAAAAGAGTTCATTTTTCTCTGTTTAAAGGTGTTCCACAAGGTGAGAAGACAGAGATAATTCTCCTGAGAATTTGTGAGGTCACTCTGCTTACCTGATATACATATTATCATATGAGAGACCCAATAATTCTCAGTGCATCTTTCCCTTCTCTACATTTGCTCTATCTCATAAATATTTATAGTGAACCACTTGTTATTAACTGTTTTCACATTTCTTCTAGGTGTTCTTCATTATTCTCACACAGATGCCAGAAACAGTGGGGACTATGGTTCTGGGACCAGGAGAAAAGAGAGATAAAGGAAATTCTTTGTTACTACAGTATGAAAAAAATTTTTGAACATTTTTGGAGAAAGTATTTAACTAGGAAAGATTAAAAGCAAAAGTGGAATTTCATATATTTCATGATTTAGGATTTAATTAGATTTCTAAGACTAAAATTAATTCATAATTTTCAGAATTTCTGTAGATATACATAGTTAGATTTTTAGACATAGACTCAACCTATACAAAATCTGGTGAGTCTGACTTTTATTTTAGAGAAAGTATCCAGTAATTTGCAAGATAGCAAGAACATGAAAACTATGATTAAAATTCAATTTTTGCTAACTTAAAGTTTAAGGTTATTCTGTGACTTGTACTTCTGTTCTGGACTGAAGACCAATTTCTCTCTCTAAAACTCTTAATTAGTCCACTTCCCTTGCCGAAAATCCTCTCTGTCTTTCTGAGAGAAGAGATGGTTCTGGGAGAGTTAAAATATGAAAATAACACAAGATGGAGAAATTCCTCAGACAAACTAAAGGTTTCACGTGGATTAAGGTTTCTAACAGTGGTAATCTTACTACTTGTTAAAGGTTGGTCAAATAAATGTCTTTGTCCCAGGGTTGTGGCTTTCTCCACTCTGGATACAGGAACACCAGAATACTATCACTTTTACAACAATAAATGTTTCTGCCATGTAACTGTCTGTTAGCCTGACTTGGTCAGCTAACATCTTTTTGGGTGTAATTTATTTCTCTTTCAATATTTAAACTTTGGGGAACACCAGAGTCAGAATACATGTGATCAAATCTTATGGAGATTATGTTTCTCTTCCTAATCGTAAATAACATATTTATTTATGTACCAGTCTCTCACTAGCAAGGATCTTGTGAAACCATCTCTGAGTGTTTAATTTATGTTGTATGTGAAAGTAAATGTAGTTCTCGGTCTAGATGACTCAAATCTTTTTATAGAATATAAACAAGCAACCACGCAAACAATAAACGATGAGTACCACAAAACCCTTCAAATATAAAGTCATCATGTGAGACTGTTTGGCCCCCAAAATGATAAATCCTTATATGTACACATATGTATATATGTATGTATATGTATATCTTTTAAATTGCAGACGTTTTCTTCAAATTTTCACAAGCTAAAGATCAAGTCATATTTTTGTCTTGCCTGTAGAAATTCTTAGAAATATTTAATTATGCCTTTTGTTGTCTAATTTTTATTGGTGGGAGTGAAATTCTCATAGTTCTAATAAATACTCAACTCCTTCAGGGAAAGCTACTGATGTTTTAATTCCTTCTTATTAGCCATGGTCATTAAACAATAAACATGGAATTTTTCAGTTATCAAAATTCCAATATTCATGGATTTTTTTTCTATAAGAGAAATTCTTCCAACAGTTATAATAATATTCTCTTTCATTTTTATTTCTTCTATTCTTCTTCCTTACATATCCAACATTCCCAAGTTGAATAGGTTCAAAAACTCGTATTTGTTGTGGCTCTGCTCATTCTATTTTCTGTATTTGACTTTATAAATAGTTCACAATATTTCTGAATTTTTCCCCCATACCTTGCAGTCAACTCTTCGGGAAACGCTACTGATGTTTAATAATACATCTTCTTATTAGCCATGGTCATTAAAACAATAACATGGAATTTTCAGTTATCACAAATTCCAATATTCATGGATTTTTTTTCTATAAGAGAATTCTTCCAAAGTTATAATAATATTTCTTTCATTTTTATTTCTTCTATTCTTCTTCCTTACATATCCAACATTCCCAAGTTGAATAGGTTCAAAAACTCGTATTTGTTGTGGCTCTGCTCATTCTATTTTCTGTATTTGACTTTATAAATAGTTCACAATATTTCTGAATTTTTCCCCCATACCTTGCAGTCTTTGCTTCTCTTACTTATAACTGGGCTTGATATTCTGGCTGCCCACATGGGTTGTTGTGGGTAAAACCTCTTTATAAGGATGTAATGACCAGATGAATTTCCCAAGGTATGATCCACAGCTGGCTCTGTGCTTGTAGTTGGAATGTTGCTAGCTTTCAGACTCCAGTCCAAGTCCTCATCTTGATCCTGCTCCCAGGCACAAAGGTCAAATTCAAAATCACACCTCCTGATGGAGGTACCTAGAAAACATTTCCATATTTATGTTAGAGAGAAAAGAAATTTGAGGGTCTTTAAAATATGTAATTGAAAATTACACTGTTCGTGCTATAGCATGTAATAGTCAAAACCTTACAATGGATCATGACAGCAACAGTTAAATCAAATAGTTTAATTTGTCAGCTGGGCACTGGTGGCTCACACCTATAATCCTAACTACTCAGGAGACAGAGATCAGAGGGTCACAGTTCAAAACCAGCCAGAGAATATAGTTTGAAAGACCCTGTATTGAAAATACCCAACCCAAAAAGGGCTGAGTGGCTTAAGTGGTAGAGCTCCTGTCTAGCAAGCATCAGTCCTTGAATTCAAACCCCGGTAATACGAAAGGGAAAAAAAATTAGTTTGTTATATACAGCTGTTTCTGTGGCTTATGTAAGTTCATTTCTGGACCAGTCTGGACCCTGTCCAGACTGTTAAGCATTACACATATTTCTTCCTCTAAATATCTGTTTAGTCAATGTAATTTACTGCTTCTTTTCTGTCTTGGTAGAGAATTTAGGAAGGTATAGGTTACCTCAGGAAATATTGCCTAAAACAAATTTATTATTAATCATTGTAATTCTCTTTAGAATACTTACTAATTTTAGAAATGAGAAAACTATGATACAAAGTAAAAGATACAATAATTTGAATTTATTATAATAAGTTGCAAAAATTATAGAAGTTGTATTAAATACCCATTTAATTCCCAGGATGCTTTTTTTCCCTTCTTCTTCTTCTTTATGTTCCTGGAGACATTTTCCTTTTTTATTGTGTGGGTGGTGTACATTGTAATATTTACAAACGTTCTTACAATATATCATACTGGAATTCAACCCCTCCATCATGAGCCTTTATCCCCTCGTCATCCCATTCCTGCAATAGTTTCAGCAGGTATCATTTTTCCATTTGCATACATGTGTACACAATATTTGCACACTCTCTTTCACCACCTCCTACCCCTTCCCATTGGTACCAACCCTCTCACAAGATAAGACCTGTTCCACCCATGGGTATTTTTTTTTTATTCTTGGATTTGAACTCAGGGTCTCACACTTGCTTGAAAGGCACTCTATCACCTAAGGCACAATTCCAGCCCCTTTTTTGCTTAAGTTATTTTATCAAATAGGGTTTCATGTTTTTGTATGGAGTCAGTCTCAGTGATCATCCTATCAATGCCTCATGTGGTTGCTGGTATTACAGCTATGAGGTACTATACCTGGTCCATTATTTTAAGTATTTTATTACTCACTTTGCTTAAATTGCTTTTCTCTGTATTTCCTCTACATTAGGAATTACAGAGACAACTCTATAATGCTGCAGTTATATATCAAGCTAGCAATGGCAATGAAGACTTTATAAAATGGAATGTTACAATATAAGGAGTCACATCTTATAAAATTATGTGTTCAGGATACTTTTCGGATAATATTTATTTAAGTAAATATGTACGATTCTGCATAAAACCAGTGAGTGATTAATTTGATTATAAGTACTAAAATTGCCTGTTTAGAATTCTTTGAAAACAATAATTCTTCATTAATTTTGTTTTAATATTACAATGAAATGAAAATCTGTAAAGTAATAATTATATTTGAGACAGTGTCCAAACACTAACAAATACTTGGGAGGAACCTATTGTAGCAAGTCTGTAAGTATTCAGAAAAAGATGACTCTCTTAAAGACAGTTCATTTGAACAATCACTCAAACAATTTAAGGCAATTTTATCTAAATAGGAACAAGAATGATTTTTCCATGAAAACACTAAAGGATCTGTTCTATAACACACTGACCAAAGGAGCACTAACCTGCCCTGCAGAATCCATGGCAACTCTGGTGGAAGAATATACTTAATTCTATTATTTGGGACTCTAATAATTTCCAAATTCTTTTGTGTGATAAATTTTTGCTTTCATTTTAGTACTTCTGTATGTGGTACAGAAATAATGATTAAAACCTGCATCTTCCATATTCTTCACTTTATTAACTACAAAGAACAAGAAGTTTATTTCATGTATTTAAACATTTTTTCCAGATTTAGATAACTCTCAGAATATAACCACAAAGAAAAGGTACTATTTGGAACCCAAGTACAAGAAATAATGAAATATGAAATTTGAAGTCTTCCTTCTCACCACAGTGAAGTGAAATTCAAACAAATACACTTATATAATGTATGGGTGCTGAAATGGATTTGATTTGATTAAAAAGAAAAACCATATAAGCACAGTTACATGGGTTATATGAATTTCTAAATAGAAATTGTATTTATTTTGGCTTTACCAGAGTTTTGAAGATGCGTTTCTTGAGAAATTTAAATTCTGACATCACAGTGGAGAATAAACAAAGCCCAAGTAAGCATATTTGTTTGAATTTCACACCACTGGTGAGAAGGAAGAACTTCAAATTTCACATTTCATGATTTTCTGTAGGTGCCAAATGAGAAAAACAGCAAATAGTTCTTTACGTTTCATGGTGTAATTAATTCCAACACCAGACAGGTGTGCCACAAGGAATGAAGACATGATTAACATTGTTTACAGGTGTATCATCAATCAAACTAATTTTCACCTTTCCATATGCTATAAGTTACACATTGATCAGTATCTTTACAAGTACAAATTATTTCATTTTAAAAGGTATGAGTTTAAAAGACCATAACCTAATTCCTTGTAAGAACCTACAATTAAATTTCTAAAAGAAAATCTCATTATTCTATTAATTTATGTATTCATTATAAATGTATTGAATATAGTTTACAAATTAAGCACATTTATTAAAATAGTAAACAGACTGGAAAGGAGACCGCCATGTAGGAACAGAATGGGTGCCAGTTCTGAGTGTTCTCTTCATAGGTATCATTTCATTTGATTCTCACATCATCTCTACAATTGTTACGATGCTTATTTGGATTGGTGAGAAAGTTGAAGTTCAGAGTTGTACTTTGCTTATTATGATATTGTAAGTAGTAGAGCTATCAGTTGAATAATTATACAATATAGTTACCGTAATACTATTCCCATTTTAATGGAGTATGCAGTGGCAGAAGTGAATGCAGCAAGAAAGCAAATTTACAAATACCACACAAAAAGAAAATGTATATAAGGAAATCCATTCTAAGAGACCTCTGCCTCATGGCAGCTCATGAAGCTGGCATGCATGCAAACTGACTTGATTATTCCAGAGGTGGCATTGTGGAATTTTTACTGCTTTATCTGTTCATCTGAATACAACTATCTCATGCATGTGAATTTGCCATTCAAAGGAAGAAGGTTATGCAATCAAATGAATGGAACAAGTCCTGTAAATTACATTTCTATTTGGGAGATCATTATTAAAAAGAAACAGCACATTAAAGCTCTGAGAATCTCCACAATATATGAACTATTTCTACATATTAAAAAAGCATATTCTGTAAATTATCTGGGTAATGAAACTTTTTTCTAAACTGTTATCTTGTAGAACATCCCCCTAATTATGCAAAGGACAAGATTTTATAATCCTGATATCAAAACGAGCAAGCCAAAGTATGATTAGAGAAGCTGGTTTCCAGTTCTCAGTGGGGCACGTGTTAGCTGTGTGACTGAGAATTGATTTGTGACTTAGGGATACAGAACAAACACAAACAGGGGGGTTAAAACAGCAGTATTTTATTACCTCACAGTTGTTTCAGGATAGAAGCCTGTGGTCAAAGTGTTGGCAGAACTATGCTCTATCAACAGCCCTAGGGGAAAATCCTTCCTTGCCTCTTCTTAGGTACTGATGGGTACAGGCAATCTTAGGGTTCCTTGACTTGGAGATGTGCTGTTGTAGTCACACCACATGCTCCCTGTGACTCTTCCCATCATCTTCCCTCTGTCTGTGTGTCCGAACTTCAAGCCAGTCATTGTACTGGGGCTCATAGTATGATCTTATTATAACTCAATTATACCTACATTATATCACATTTTGAAGTTCTAGGTGGATATGAGTTTTGGGAGAACCCTACATAACCCAGGTGGACCTAAATTTAGGGGGTTAACCTACATAACCGGACACTGGAACATTTCCTGTTTTAAGATAATTCTCAGGCTTTTGAGATATATGATCATATTCTAAAATAATTGTAATTTGGCTTTCTTTCATTTCATCATATGTTATATATTTACCAAAACCATAATAAGAATATTAAATAGATAAATTACTAGTAGTTTTTTCTTTCTATGCCCTTGATTTTAATAGAAATACTTTCATGCTTTCCGATAACTTGATAGATCATTTTTAGCATGTTAAAGCAATACTCTATGTACACTGTAATAAGCAGTTGCTTAACGTGAATATTTTCAGCACATATCAGCTTATATATTTTCCCAAAAACTTACTTGGTTACACTTACAGATCGTTACATTGAAACATTCTTAAAATATTGTAAGATGCTTTTTTTTTTCAAGGTGTTATATTTTATTTGAAAGGTCAAAAGCCAGGCATAAGAATTGAAATCTCTCCTGCAAGAGTCAGTCAGGCTGGGTGCTGGTGACTCAAGCCTGTACTCATAGCTACTCAGGAGGCAGAGATCAGGAGGATTGCAGTTTGAAACCAGCCCAGGCAAATAGTTTGTGAGACCCTATCTCCAAAATACCCAACATGAAAAAAGGGCTGGTGGAGAGGCTCAAGTGGTACAGTGCCACCTAGCAAGTGTGAGGCCTTGAGTTCAAGCCCCAGTATCACTTTTAAAAAATAAAAAAAGGGAAGTGTTAACAGCAGCAGTCCATCAGTCTACATCTAACCAATCTGGTGCTGGAGTAGTAAAAAAGAGGCCCTTATAGCCAGCTGCATCAGCCACATAAGTCACCTTCTGTCAACCTCAGCTCCTCTTGTGTAAAGTCAGTATGATGAGAGTAGTTGCCTCATCAGGTTTGTTGGAAAAATAAAATAAGATAATGATTAAATAACATTCCATGCCACACTTGCCATTCAGTAAGTGCTTATTTTTATTAGTTTTAG